AGAAGTGTCAGAAGTGAAGTGTTTTGCACAAGTAGTAAAATAAATACACAGGAGATAGACTGAACTGAGGCTTTCCCTTAAAATAGGAGGAAAAGACTGGGTTTTCCACTGCAGACACACACAGACCTTTCCCCACAACCCCACCCATATATACCCTTCTCTCCTCTCCCTTGGAGCTGCACCCCCTGGAAGAGGTCCACTGTCCAGAGATGCTTATCTGTGGGGGGCGGTATGTCCCTAGCCATGCCGGGACAGAGCATTACATTAGGAGATGCACTAGAACCAGAACAGGTTTAGAATTAGATCTTAGCACCCACATTTCATAAGAGGAGCAGCAGCCACTGTTGACTGGAACAGGTCTAGCTAGTAGATTCGCCCAGTTTCAGCTGGTTAGCTAACTGAGGTCCTGGAAGAGGAAGCCCCAGTCCTGTTCATGAAGAGAGGAAAGCTGGAGACAACAGAGAAGTGAGAGGTGAACTGCATAAAACTCACTGAGGTTGAAACCTCAACCTGGTATTCTGCATAATAGGGTCTGACAATGTTTTCTTGTTTAATTTATCAGCCTCCTTCTCTGAGCCTGGCTATCTCGGCTGGTACTTAATTTTGAATCCTCTGAGTTAATTTATTCACTTTGTTATCCTTAGTATATGGTATAGGCTGAATGTTTTGTGTCCCCGCAAGTTCTTATGTTAAATTCTAATCCCCAATGTGATGTTATTTGGGGGTGGGGACTTTGGGAGGTGATTATGTCATGAGGATGGAGACCTCGTGAATGGAATCAATGCTCTTATAAAAGAGACCCTGAGAGCTCCCTTGCCCTCTTCTGCCATCTGAGGGCACGAGAAGATGGCCATCCACGAACCGTGGGGTGGATCCTTGTCACTGAATCTGCCAGAGCCTTGATGTCAGCCTTCCTAGACTCCAGAATTGTGAAAAGTACGTTTCTGTTATTTACAAGCCACCAGCCTCTGGTATGCTATTACAGTGGCCTGAACACGTCTTGGTGCTGTGATTGTTGCAACCAGATTGTTTTCCTAACATTTCCAGGTTAAAACCTGTGGACTGCTTCATTTGCATATAGACTGATTTCCATAACGTAGAACACTGGTAGACTGTTCACAGAAGACTCACCACCAGGCCCAGCACTGCTGCACGTTACAGTAAAGCTATCTGGAGAGAACACAAAGGTGATTTTGGCATACCATTAGAGAAACCATCTGTGAAACTCAAATGACCACATAAAGCTTATCAATGAGCGTGAATTGGTTTTGTTCTATATTGTATGGGATGAAGAAAAGAGAAATGTCAACAGAGCTCATTAAGGGTGCCCTTGCCAGCTGCTGAAAATAGAAGTTGGCTGCTCTTGGGATTTGGCTTAAAGCTGGACAGATTTGCTTGTTATAAGGTCAAAGTTTTGTCTAAAGCCATCATTTCTTTTAAAATTGGAAAAAAAAACCCCTCTACATACAAAAAAACCCCTTGTTCTATTACAGTACTTTTCATTAGGCTATCCCCCCCCCTACCAGGGGCCTCATCTAAGTGTATAAAACTATTAGGGAGGCAAGAGTGATCAGGATGAATTTCATAATATTTGCATATGGCCTGTGGCTTTTGGAGCCCATATGTTGGCAACTGAGGTTGAGTGGTGATGGCTGTCCACTTTGGACGCGCTCCTTCTTAATGAGGAACTTATCCTTCCTCTCTCAGCCCCACAGGCCTGTTCCAGTGACTGACGACTTGTGCTCAGACAACAACAGAGAAGAGAGACATAGAGTCAGAGAAAGAGACAGGAGCAACGGTGAAGGCAAGGTCCTATGAAGAACTGTTTCTTATTGTCTTCTTTTTCACCCTCAAAATTTTCCCCTGCAAAGTGGGAAAACCCCTAAAATAGCAACAGCAAACAATAAGGAAGCCTCCAAGACTTCCTAGGCGGCGGTCCTAGAAGGTAAGTTGAATTTTTTAGCTTCATTCCTTATTTTAGATTTTCTTACATAAATGTGTTTTGAAAGTAGAAATGAACATGTACTTTTAAATTAGGGGACCCAGTGGATTGAATAGAATGAATACTGGATCAGGAGCCAGGAGACTTGGCTTTGAATGGTTTCAACCCAGCCATTTATTTGCTTTAGTTTCTTCACTTATAAAGTAAAATATACCACCTAATGATGCATGGATAAATACAATGTGAAATATCCACATAATAAAATATTATTCAGCCATAAAAAGGAAGGAGGTACTGACACATTCTACAGCATGGATGAGCTGTAAAAACACTATACTAAGTGAACGAAGCCAGACACAAAAGATTATGTGTCATATGAGTCCATTTATGTGAAATGTACAAAAGAGCTAAACCTATAAGGACAGAAAGTAGATTAGTATATTAGCTAATGAGTATGGCAGGGTGATGAAAGTGTTCTAAAATTAACTGTGGTGATGTCTGTATTCACAACTCTGTGAATGTACTAAAAACCATTGAATTGTACCCTTTAAATGGTAAGTTGTATGGTATGTGAATTATATCTCAATAAAGCTATCATTAAACAAAGAAGAAAGCGAACAATAATTTCTACCCACCTCAGATATGTTGTGAGGCTCAGAGGAGTTGTTTTATAAGTAAGAAAAGTAGTTCAAACTATGCAATAATAATTATTTTTAGACTTAATTATTTCCTTAAGTTAGAAGCTGATATACTAAATGAGTTCTCCAATGATAACTGGTATTTACGGAGATCAGAGAGGCAGAGCTGCTTACTGCTCTGTGCGTAAAGGTCAAATAAAAGGGAGCAGTGGGGGAGGGTTTAGCTCAAGTGGCAGATAGAGCACATGTTTAAAATGCACGAGGTCCTGGGTTCAATCCCCAATACCTCCTCTAAAAATAAGCAAACCTAATTACCACCCCCAACCAAAATAAAATATTTAAATAATACAATAATAAATAAAATACATCTTTTAAAGGGAGCAGCTCATGAGAGTGACGAGGGGAGGGAACAAGAGCTGGACTGTAAGCTCCCTGAGGTCAGGCATTGTTTCTTGTTCTCTTTTTAATCCCAGTGCCTAATACAATGTTTTCTCAATAAGCGTAAACAAGTGAATATATGAATAATGAATGAATAAACAGTGAAACTAATGAATGAAAATGATGAGACACTGTCTTCTAGCCAGCCAGTAAACATTTTACCAGTCAGCACATTCAGGCGCTTGCCCTGAGGCTGACGGTGACTGGGGGATTTGGGTATTGCAGTCATCCCACTGCCAAGGAAGCAGTAATTCTCTTTCAGGTGCTACAGATCAAAACGGTTCTTGTTTCTCCTCCAGTCTGCAGACAGGGGAAAGTTTTACTCTATAAAGAGCTTACCAGTGTCATGGCTAAGATTTGTTTCTTCTTCTGTTAGCTGTGATGAGCCAAGAAGAGGGCTGGTCTCCAGAATAAAAGATCATAAGGTCTGGTCTAGTATGCTTGGAGCACTGAGGGCTCGGGGGCAAGCTTGGAGGCCTGCTTTGCTGCAAGATGAGGGCAAAGCATTCATAAGGTTGTCTGCAGTTAGGGCAACAAGTTTGGGTGGTCCTGGCATTGTGACTCACTGTGATGGGGACAGGAGTCAGCAGCCTTGGGGAGAAGCAACTATTCTATTTTTCCATTTTTACCCGTTGGGAAAGGACTCATGAGTTTGGCCCAAGTTGGCATCAAGGCAAACCTGTATCACTTGCAGCTGAAATCAAGGGGAAAGTAATCTAAGGAAAGAACTCTTAATTTCCTACTATGTGTTCTCGGGGTTTCCCTTTCACTTTCTAATTTGAACCCCCAAAGCTCTATTGAGAACCCCTCTGAAGGACCATTCAGGTCTTACATGTAAGTAACAGCCATGAGTACATAACTGAAGGACTTTAGGATCTGGACTGCTCAGAGCAAGAGCTATTTCATTTAAGGCCTGGATATCCTATTTAGAAAATAAATCTAGTTTAAGAGACATTTCCTCATAACAGGGCAAAAAAGACAAAATGAGTTAAGAAAAGATCTAGAACACACAGTTAACTTAACTGGGTGCCAGAGCCTTCTTGTGCATGAACAAACTCCAGAGTTTTCCATTTATTCTCAGACAGATCCAGGAGACTTGGCAGCAGAGGTGGCAGACTTACCCAGGAAGGGACTTTTCTTCATCTTTTATTTCCCTTCCTATACCTCTAGTCACTTTCTTGGACAACATGTCCAGGAACTAAACAGCATAAACCCTGAACTTCAAAAGCCTCAACAAAAAATTACTTGCCTGAGGAAACTTATGTACCACATAAAGTAGATCAACTTTCCACCCCCTCCTCCACTTATTTATTCCAAAATAGACATCTGAAAAGCCAGGAAGTCAACAAAGGAACAAATACAGAAATACAAACTGCCAGTAAAACCAGTCCACTTGATAAAAAATGTCTCCTGATCTCTAGTCCCTTGTATTTGTATAAACACCTTAAAATGTGTTTGCCTCTGACCTTTGATTATTCTGCCTTTGATGTCATTTACTTCAGATCATAAATCTGAAGACAAGGGGCCCACGTTTATTCAGGGCACAGTGTGAACGATGTTGCAGCATGGACTTTGGAGTTAGGCAGAGCTATGCTGGAACTGGGCTCCATGTTCACCAGCTGTGTAAGTTGGTAACCGGGCAAGTAAGTGACTTAGTCTTTCCAGTCTTCTTCTGTAAAATCAGGAGAATAATACTTGCCTCAGATTTGCTTTAAGGATCTAATGACACTGTGTACATAAATGAGAAAGTGATCTAGAATAATCCCACCTGTCTCCGTCTACACCCTTCACTCCAGATAAACAATTCCATTTGTTTCTTATCACTCTAGAGTTTCTTTATGCAAACATATGTAAATTAAAATATATTACACTACTATGTATAAGCGTATTCTTCTTCTGCCTCCTTGCTTACATAAAAGGAGCATACAACTGCTCTGTATCTTGTTTTTTTCATTTAATCTATTTTGGAAATCTTTCCATATCACTATAGGGAGAGCTTCCTTCTCTCTTTTTTTCTTTTTTCTTTTAGTAGCAGCATGAGATTCCATTGTGTGACTGTAGCACAGTTTATTTAACTATCCCTTATTGGAAGACACAGATTATTCCTAGACTCTTCCTGTAACAAATAAAGTTACAGTGAATATCTTTGTACACAGTATCATTTCGCATGTTTGTGAATGTATCTAGAGGGTTTATGCATTTGTAACTTTTTAAAAGAACTTTATTGAGGTATCATTTAAATGTTTTTTTCTTTTTTGTTGCCAAATTGCCCTCCCTGGGGCTGTGCCATTTTGCACTCCTAGCCGTGTACAAGCATGTGCTCTAAACTCCCAGAAGTGGGTACTTGCAGAAAGCAGGGGTGGAAGGCCCAGAGAGGATTCTGACTTTTTTCTTTAAAAATTACTATATGTTAAAAATTTTTACATGAGGATATATTCTTATGGTAAAATATTTCAAGAAGTAGAAATAGATGGTAAGAATATAAAGTTCTCCTTGGCCAACACTTCCCTGCCAGCAATCCCAGCTCCTCCCACCTTGTGAACTGTTTGGTGTGCGGTTACTGACTTAACTCCAGTGGCCATTTCTCAGTCCCCATCCTCCTTGAGATTTCCAAAGATCTCTTTCCAAGATTCTCTCTCCCTTTGGCTTCCATGACACAAACATTCTTCTGGGTCTCTCATATTTCTCTGATCTTTCACCATCTTGTCTGGCTTCTCTCTCTTCTCTTGCCTTGAAAAACAGCCTAAAAACAAGGGACATTTATCGAAGCTGATGATGCACAAGAATAACAGAACCCCAAACCACAGGGAGCTTAAGGTCTCGGGCGTGTGGCAGAAAAGATAGCTGCAGCAGTTCCTCCTGTCCCTCTCAGTGTGTGAGTTGGCTAAAGCTGCCGTAACAAAATACCACAGACTGAGTGGCTTACAAAACAGGAATTTATTTTCTCACAATCACAGAGGCTAGAAGTCTGGGATCCAGGTGTCAGCCGTGCTGGTCTCTTCAGAGGCCTTTCTCCTTGGCATGTAGATGGCTGTCTTCGTGTTCATGAATGTTCTTCATGACATGACATGCCTTCATGTTCATATGACTTTCTCTCTCTATGTATGTCTGTGTCCTAATCCCTTCTTTTAACAAGGGCACCAGTCATACTGGGTAGAGCCTACTTTGATGGAAAGGACAGCAAAGTCACATTGTGAACAAGCATGCTTAGTGTCACGAGCTGAACTGCGTCCCCTACAATTCATATGTTGCAGTCCTAATCCCCAGTACTGCAGAATGTAACTGTATTTGGAGACAGTCTTTAAGGAGCTAATGAAGTTAAAGTGAGGTCTCTGCAGAGGGGTGGGGGGGCTGACCCAGGATGACTCATGTCCTTATAAGAAGAGGAGATCAGCACACAGACTCACACAGAGGGAACACCATGTGCAGGTGTCCATCTACAAGCTGAGGAGAGAGACCTCAGAAGAAACAACTGTGCCTCCACCTTGCTCTGGGACTTCCAGCCTCCAGAATTGTCAGAAAGTAAGTGTTTGCTGTTTTAGGCAACCATTCTGTGGCAGTCATTATAGCAGCCCTAGCGAACTAACACAAAGGGTCACGCCGTCTGCTTTACAGTAAATCAACAGAAGAACTTATTTCAGAAAAAACTAATGTTCAAAAACATGAACCAGGTAGGGCCCATCTCAGGGACACTGTTTGAAGCTGAACTCTGCCTGGAGTTCATCCCCCATTCTGAGGAGAGGAACATGGCAGAGGCAGCAGAGCGGAGGATGTTCCCTGTGCTTTCACACCCGGCCACAGGGCAGGCCCCAACCTGGGGCCAAGATCGCCCCTGCCAGGAACTCAGCAAGCACTGAAGCAAAAAATAAATAAATAAATAAAAAAGAGAGAAAAAATGCGAGATGATATGCTAGAGAGAAACATGATAGATTTTTGAGCATATACTGTAAAAGGGAAAATGATCTTTTCTTCCACTAACAGATACACTTGGAACATATATTTTGATTCAGAATCATTTCAGTGACTTTACAGTGGATGTTTTGCTGGGTTTCAAAAAGTTTGCAGATCTCGGCAGCCATTCTCGTTTCAACATGTAGAGTAGCTGACTCTCAATTAGTTGTCATATTAAAAGGATTCACAGGGCTACCTATTATTAGTGTATATTATTTTTCTCAATGCTTCAGACACTGTGGCGTTTATTTTTACAGTTGCCATAGAAACCCAAGTCTGTAATAAGCAGCTCTTTTAATTCTAACAATTAGGCTTATATAAAAGAATATTTTAAAGAGATGAAATTTGGAAAGCCCAGCCAGAGGACTGGCAGAAGAACCTTGTTCTTCAAAGGGTTACAAAATTAGCTTAGATTATCCCTTGTTACAACTGCCTTTTTTGACAACTGCTAGAATGCTCATTAGTCAGGCCTTCCTAGGATCTGCATTTTCCACAAAGACTGGAGGTTTGCTTATTTCACAGAAACTTACTTTCATCCGCCCCAATCTCCCTCTTACACCTGGGCTGCTCTCTTGGTTATGGGAGATGCCAATTCTCCTTTTTGCTGTAAAACAGAAAATGTTACTTGAAGCTTCACAAAAGAATAAAGGCTTTAAAAGAATCAGTCAAGAAAAACCAATTATGCCTTTTTACATTATGGGATGTTTGGAAGCCATAAATTTTGCCTTTCTTATATTCATTGCCTATAAAAGTATTTTGGAGTAATATATATTAGTTCATTTTAGTGATTAGTAATGCATGCACCTGGCACAAAAATCAAGAGGCAGATAGTTAAATATTAGTCTCGTTTCTATGCCTGTCCCCGGGGGGCAACCATTGTTACCACTTTCCTTTGTATTCTTTTTATTCTTCCAAAGCTGTTCTCTGCAATCAAATGGGTGCATGCGCGCGCGTCCGTGCACACACACACACACACACACACGCAGTATATTGTGCATGTTGTACTGCACCATGCTTTTTTTCACTTACTACTGAAAATTTGGATGCTATTCTATTTCATTACATAAAGAGTCATCTTGGTCCTCATAAAGGTCTGTCCCTGTAATTATTTAACAGTCATGTACTGAGTGTTACAGGCATTGTGTGGGGCCCTGGCAATACTGAGGGGAAGATCACAAAGTCCCCAGTCTCAGGAGCCCACACTAGGAGAAGAGGCGGCCACCTGGGAAGTGACCACCACCCAGAGCGCAGCACTGCGATGCCTCAGGTGGAAGTGGGGGTGGAAGCACGTAGGAGGGAGTCTGGCTTTGCTCACAAGGGGGACAGAGCACATTCAGGCAAGATACTTGAGAAGCATCTTGAAAAATAAGCCAGGGGCCTCAGGTAGACAAGGAGGGCAAGTCCATTTCAGGTACAGTAAGTGCCATGTCCTCTGGAGTAGAAAACGGCCTGGTGTTTTGGGGAACTGACAGTGGTTTGTTATGGCTGGACAGCAGGGCGTGTCTGTGTTAAGACTAGATCAGTGGCTCTCAAACTTTTTGACCACGATCCAGAGTTAAGAAATATGTTTTACAACATCACACAGTGTGTGCAAAACGGAAACAAAATTTTATGAAACAATACCCTCATTAAATGCACTGTTTTTTTCCTATTGAATTCTAGGCTATTTTTTTAAATGCCAGTGATGACTCACTACACTGATTTCACAAACCACTAACAGGCACTATCCTTCAAGTTGGGAAATTATGAAGTATTCAGTGTCTAAAGATCTAATAGTCTATACAGTTATCAGCCTTCCTCTGATTTACACGACTGTGATCATTTTTTAAATAAGACTAGATTGACAAGAGTCAAGGAGCTTATTTGCTCCCACACACCATACAAACAAATAAACTCAAAATGGTTTAAACAGCTGAACATTAGATAGGACACCATAAATCTCCTAGAAGAGAACATAGTCAAAACATTCTCTGACATAAATCATAGCAATGTTCTCCTAGGGCAGTCTACCCAGGCAACAGAAATAAAAGCAAAAATAAACAAATAGGACCTAATCAACATTATAAACTTCTACACAGAAAAGAAAACTATAAACAAAATGAAAAGACAACCTATGGAAACATCTGCAAACAATGTGACAGACAAGGGCTTAATTTTCAGAACATAAACTGCTCATACAATTCAATAACAAGAAAACAAAGAACCCTATCAAAGAATGCTGAGAAGAAGACCTAAACAGATATATCTCTAATGAAGATATACAGATGGCCAACAGGCACATGAAAGATGCCCAATATCATTAATATTCAGAGAAATGCAAATCAAAACTACATTGCACATGGGTCACAATGACCATCATTAAAAAGTCCACAAACGATAAATGCTGGAGAAGGTGTAGATAAAAGGGAACTCTCCTACACTGTTGGTGGGAATGCAATTTGGTACAGCCGTTATGGAAAACAGTATGGAGATTCCTCAAAAAACTAAAAATAGACTTATCATGAGATCCAGCAATCCCACTCCTGGGTGTATATTCAGAGAGAACTCTAATTTGACAAGACACATGCACCCCAATGTTCACAGCAGCACTATTTACAATAACCAAGACACAGAAATAACCTAAATATCCATCGACAGATGACTGCATAAAGAAGCTGTGGTATATTTATACAACAGAATATTACTCAGCCATAAAAAAAGAATAAAATAATGCCATTTGCAGCAACACGGATGGACCTGGAGATCATCATACTAAGTAAAGTAAGCCAGAAAAAGAAAGAAAAATACCATATGATATCACTTATATGTGGAATCTAAAACAACACAAATGAACTTATTTACAAAACAGAAACAGACTCACAGACATAGAAAACAAACTTATGGTTACAGGGGGTAAGGGGATGGGATGGGGATAAATCGAGAGTTTGGGATTTGCAGATACTAACTAACATATATAAAAAAGATAAACAACAAGGACTTACTGTATAGCACAAGGAATCACAGTCAATATCTTGTAGTAACCTCTAATGAGAAAGAATATGAAAGGGAATGTATATTTAAGTGAGTCATTCTGCTGTACACCAGAAACTAACACAACATTGTAAATCAACTATACTTCAAATAAAGAAAGGAGGAAGGAAAGAGAGAGAAAGAGAGAAAGAGAGAAAGAAAGAAAGAAAGAAAGAAAGAAAGAAAGAAGGAAGGAAAGAAGGAAAGAAGGAAAGAAGGAAAGAAAGAAAGACATTTAAAAATATATATATATAACAGCTCCTGGGCATATATCCAGAAGGAACCCTACTTCAAAAAGACACCTGCACCCCAATGTTCATAGCAGCACTATTTACAATAGCCAAGACATGGAAGCAGCCTAAATGTCCATCAACAGATGACTGGATAAAGAAGCCACGGTATATTTATATAATGGAATACTATTCAGCCACAAAAATGACTACTTAACGCCATTTTCAGCAACATGGATGTCCCTGGAGAACGTCATTCTAAGTGAAAAAAGCCAGAAAGAGAAAGAAAAATACCGTATGAGATCTCTCATATGTGGAATCTAAACAAAAAAAAATTGAAAGAACATAAATACAAAAGAGAAACAGACTCATAGACATAGAATACAAACTTGTGGTTGCCAAGGTGGGGTGGGTGGGAAGGGATAGACTGGGAGTTCAAAATTTGTAGGTACTGACAGGCATATGTAGAATAGATAAACAAGATTATACTGTATAGCACAGGGAAACATATACAAGATCTTGTGGTAGCTCACAGTGAAAAAAAATGTGACAATGAATATATGTATGTTCATGTATAACTGAAAAATTGTGCTCTACACTGGAATTTGACACAACATTGTAAAATCACTATAACTCAATAAAAAATGTTAAAAAAATAAAAAATATATAAATAACATAAAATTTGTGTTTTTAACTATTTTTAAGTGTACAATTCAATGACATTAATTACATTCATGATGTTGTACAATAATCACCACTAACACTTTCTGTAACTTTTTAATAGAAACTCTGTACCCACTAAGCAATAACTCCCATCTCGCTCTCCCCCAGCCCCCGGTAACTTTTCATTTACTTTCTATCTCTATGAACTTGCCTATTCTAGACACCTCATGTAAGTGGAATTGTGCAATATTTGTCCTTTGTAGCTAGCATATTTCACTTATCATGATGCTTTCAAGGTTCATCCATGATGTAGCATGTAATAAAAATCCATTTCTTTTTACGGCTGAATAATATTCCATTGTATGCATATATCACATCTGTTGATGACCACTTGGGTTGTTTCCATCTTTTGGCTACTGCAAATAACACTGCAAAGAACATTGGCATGCAAGTATCTGTTTGAGTCTTTCTTTGCAATTATCTTAGATATACACCTGGGAGTGGAAATGCTGGGTCATGTGATAATTATATTTTTAGCTTTTTGAGGACACCACATAATGCATTCCACAGTGGCTGCACCATTTTACAATCCAACCAGCAATGCATGAAGGTTCCAATTTCTCCACATTCTCACCAACACTTACTACGTTCTACTCTTTAAATTATAGCCAAAATTAATTTGCTTGGGCTGCCATAACAGAATGCAAGACTAGTGGCTTAAACAACAGAATTTTATTTTCTCCCAGTTCTGCCAGCAGTGTTGGTTTCTGATTAGGCCTCTCTTCCTGGCTTGCAGACAGAACCTTCTTACCGTGTCCACAAATGGACTTTTCTCTGTGTATGTGGGTAGAAAGAGAGATTTCTGGTGTCTCTTCCTCTTCTTATAAGAACATTAGTGCTATTGGACTAAGGCCCCACCCTTATTACTTCATTTAAGTTAATTACCTCCTTAAAGGCCCTATCTCCAAATACAGTTACATTGGAAGTTAGGGCTTCAACACATGAAGTCTTGGGGACATAAGTCAGTCCCTAACAACCATTCTGGTAGCCGTGAGATGGTATCTCACTGTGGTTTTTCTTTCATCATTTTTCTGTCTCCTTTGATGATTCAATCTCCTCTACCCAGCCATTAAATGTTGGAGATGTCAAGACTTGGCCAGAAGCCCTAATCTCTGTTCATCCCACACTCTCTCTCTAGGCCACTGTGTACTTCCCGACAGTGTCAGTTACATGCCAGTGACCCCCAATTTTAAAGTGCAGAACTCTCTTCTGAATTCAACTCCTAACCAACTCTGTTCAATACTTGGGTGCTTTATGTATTTGTCTACACCTAAATAAACTCTTCTATAGTGCTTACTATGTGCCAGGCACTGTTTTAAGTGCTTTATAACCAGTTCATTCGCTTCTCGTAACTCCATGAGAAAGGTAGTAGTATTCCTGGTTACAGATGAGGAGACTGATGGATGTTAACTTGAGTGTGCTCCCACAGCAGGTAAACAGCAGAGCTAGGTTTACAACCAAGCAGATGGCTCCCTAGTCCATGCTTTCAACCATTTTGCTATACTGCTTCTCAAATAGCCCCTTAAACTCAGTTTGTATAGGGACAAATTCTTGATTTCCATTCCTGTATCAGTTTGCTAGAGCTGCTATAACAAAGTACCACAAACGGGGTGGCTTCAACAACAGAAATTTATTGTCTCAC